TTTTTCTTTTCTTTTTTTTTTTAAAAAAAAATGAGTATGTACTCAGCACACGGAGCTCACGACTCTCCTATGTGATAGTTGCCGACCAAAGGGCGAGTACTCAGGGGGTGGCCTGATCGTGGCGGCCGTCATTGTACTGCCAATCGACTCCAGAGTATTTGAACGCTCCCTGCGGTGTACCCCCAAGGAAGCACGTCCTGTGTATTCAGCTGGTGGTGGTGAAATGCTCCTGGGTGTGAAGAAGGAGTCGGTATTCTGTACATTATCGCCTCGAAGAGCGACTGCCTGGGCCAGGCTCTCTGCGCCTGCAACTTGTACCGGGACACGGATGGAGAGTTGTGGCACCGTCAAGCTCGTGTTTGGAGGGACGACGGAGAGGCTCATGTCCAGTGCATAGATTCGGGAGGTCAAGCAAGAGTGGAAGGTAGGCAGAAACGCCTTGGTTTTCGGCAATGTGATCGGCGCGAGAATGGTGCAGGTGTAGTATGTATTGCCGGCATAGGCAGCTGTAGGCCCGGTTTGAGACGAATCAATAGAGGAAGTCGACTGGACGGAACCTCGACGGGAGTTAGGGGCAGAGGATAGGGGGGTAGTGATGGCGAGATTGCTCGATGATGAGGCTGGAGAGCAAAATGTAGAGTTTGCGTCGCCAGAGTGCTTGGTCCATGGCACCGAGGCGATGCAGCGAGTCTCAAGTGGAACAGTTTCGGCATACATGCCATGGTTAAGAGACCAGTTAGGCATATTTGCTCGAGTTGCGAAATCCTTCCACGGCTCTGAGGCATAGTAGGTAAATACTTTGAGCTTCGTCCAAAGGGTGCTAAGACGAGGTGGTTTCTGGTTTTCATCGGCAGGATCGAATCGAACATGCACCTTCACAAGCGTGCTCGGGGTTTCTTGTTCTTCGGAGATCGTAACGTCTTCGCTACCGGGGTGGTGGATGGGAGGGAGATGGAAGGGCTTTGGCTGTGCGGCAGCCATTGCGATGCGGCCAAGTTTACCGCGCAGAGCGCCTCTCTTGACGGACTTTTCGGTTCGGAGACAGTAGTCGATGCTGTTTTCAGAGACATCCAGCGGCGGCTCAACATCGGTGGCCGGGATGATTCGAACTTTCTTTCCTTGATCAATAACGGTTCGCAGTGTGCCAGTGCTGGGGTTGTGCTTTGACAGCTTCGCTCTGACGTTATATTGGATCTGAACCATCTGTGGCACCATATCGTCGAGCAGACTGTTCCCATCGCCAGCGAGCATAGGGTCGCCAGCGGAAGGAGGTAAGTTGGTGTGCGCAAGTTGCACTTGTGGGTGGTTCATTTTGTGTGAACAGGATTGAGGAAGCATCCTCTCGGGCACCACAAATGTGAAGGGGAAGGTATATTTGCGACCAGCCTCGAGGATGCGAGGTTCCGGGTAATCAGACTCATCAATCGGTTGGACGAGCCTTAAGAATGTGTGAAACGCAGAGGAGCGGCCAACAGTCGGCCCTGCAGCTCCGGGTCTCTCAATCAGAGTCCTTGAAGTGCCTGTGCGATGGCGGTTAGCTTATCGTATTACGCTCGCCAGCTATATAGATATTTTTGACATATACATACCTACAAAGGAAATGGAGATCTGCTCAAACCGAGTATCAACGTCGGCTGTGAATGTTGCCTCACCCTCAATAGCGTCAAGTGTCGTATATGAGCAGATACCAGAAGCAGGCTGGTCCTTCAGCGTGATGTCGACTCGCAGTGAAGAGCGCTTGGTCCATGGCTCAAAGGGAGCAGCTCGCGACGCCAAAGACGCCGCCATCGTGACGTTGCTTTCGCTATAGCCGGTAGAAGTAGCTGGTTATATATATGGCGGTGAAGTAATATGTATATACATATCTCTCTCTTCTCGTGTAAAAAGTAGGAAGGCCAGGAAAGACGGAGATCGCAGAGGGACCTTCGGCGTTTATAACTCTCGGCAGCGCTCTTGTGGTGGTAGCACGAGTGAAGCGATATATCCAGCAGTTGTCAAGGAAACATGACCAGACAAGCTGATCTTCTGTATACAGTCGATAAACCTGCAAGGGGAGTTGTGGGTGGGGGGTTCACATATATTATATATGTATATGTTATGTGTATTCCCAGCTTGCAAAATGCCGAAGTTGACGCAATCATGAGCTTTCAAATCACCCAGCATAGTATTATATACATCGCCAGCAATGTCGTGGCGCTCCAGAGGCTCGGTACCAGGTACCAGCACCGGCCGCCACCAAGGTGACCTCCCGCCCAAAATTTTTTTTTGAGTCATCCCTGCAAAACGAAGGAGTGGTCCAGCGAAATGCAAAAAATTTTTGTGTTAAAAAAAAAAAAGCCGCCAGGAGGAGTGACAAGGCCCGTCGGCCGTCGACAGCGCGAAGCCGAAGTACCGTTGCACCAATGCCGCTTTTGGCGGGCCAGGTCCGCCAGTCCACCAGTCCACTACGGTTCTGGCCGGTGTTAATCAGCCTGTGCAGGCGTGTCGCAGGGAGTCGCAGAGAGGCCCTTTTGGCTTCTGGATGCGCGTATCGACAGCTCGATGGACTGCAAGCGTGATGCCCATGGCTCCACTGGCAGAGTTTTCTTTTCTTTTTCTTTTTCCTTCTCACCCCCTTCCCTAGCCATCATCGGGCAGCGCTCGCCGTCGACGTTCGCCGTGGTGGAGCTTGTAAACAAGCGGTTTTCTCGCCGTCATGTTGCATGGAAGAGATTTTTCCAGCCCGTTGCTAGGTTCTTCTGCTCACATCTGGCCTCGTGGTGGAGCCGTCATATCATGTTTTGGTACTGCAAACTCCCTGTTGCCTGTCTGTATCCGTGAAAAATGGAGCGATCTGAGTCTGCTGCGCTCCAATGGCAAGCTGCAACAGCTGCACCGTACGATTTTGGCATATCCGCATGAAACAGCAGCCCTCCGGGCAAGGCAGCCTGCTCACCCACGCGGAGCGACAGAGAGTCAATTGAAGGGCGTGCAGGAGGTAACATCCAACACCTAACGAATCCCATGAAAGCCGCCAGAGTGGCGAGCTGGCGACAAGCTCATTTCTCATTCCTTCTGCCCCTTGCTCTCTGGACGCCCAGCCGGGTAGTCGGCCAGGAGGTCTGAAACTGATATGCAGATGTATACTAAGTAATAAAAAAAAAAAAAAAAAAAAAAAAAAAAAGGGACGTGAGGACGCTTGGACCAGAGGGCGGCTGCGAGTACTTTCCTATTTCAGGAAGGTGGGCGACGCTGCTTTAAGGCCGGCGGTTGATGAATAAGCGCCTGATTATGTGATGTGTATTACTAATATCTGCCGCTTGCCCTTAAACCGGCGAGGCAGCGAAAGCGACGACAGCAACGACTTCTAAGGGCTAACTAGTAGACCGTAGACCGTATAGCTAGGCGTGATACGAGAGCAGAGGCGGACTGAATGCCCACTTGCTGCCAAATCAACGGCCCTCAACACGATGTTTCGATGACTCTTCTCTCACTCCACGGCTGTCCTTCCCCACAGTCTGGTCGGCTTCATCTCGTCTGTGCTGTCTTTCCCGCTTTGCTATCTTCCCCGAGGTAAATCAAAAAGCAGACATACGTATCTCCGGACTGCAGGAAGCTCGTGTTGCTGATTGATCCAAAGTCTCTTGATCTTGTTGCGAGGAGATATTGGAACAACCAGAGGCTGCCAAGCGCCGATGGTGTCTAGGACCTGCTCGGCGACTCGACAGATGACCTGATGCTGCCGAAGGAGGGCTACATCGAGAAACACGGGTGTCATCTAGACCGCTTCAGAATATGCTCCCTGCATACGGAGTGCACTAGTGTGGCATCAATGACGAAGCCGTGATGATCATTGGATTCCTTATCTTATATTATTATTATATACAACACTCTCTGGTAATCAAGCAGAGCATGAAGCTATCCTTGCAGATCAAACTGCACAATCTTTCATGTGAGCCACACTGTTACCACTTTTACCTTGATGATATTGCCAACGACTACTACGATCGACAGGAAGACGTGACTGAACTCTAATCAAGCGACGGTTTTGAGGTTAAACTGACGAAAATAATAGAAATGTGATATACCGGTATCGGTCCTACCCCTAGCCCTACTGATCTGAAAATCCTGTGACACCGTGCTGCTGTATACCTCTCACAGCGTCCCATAC